GGTGTTGCTAATGGTATACTGCTAGCTGGGGTGTTGCTAATGGTATACTGCTAGCTGGGGTGTTGCTAAATGAGTAAAATTCTTATCTCATCTGGTAGTCCGAGCACTGATCCGGTCCAGGCTAAGCGATGCTACCTCCCACAATCCCACATTGTTCCCCATCATACTGAATTGAGCTCAATATCCTGGTTTCCATCTATTGCGCTCCCCACCCCTGGTCCCATCTACCATCTACCGTCCCCATACGTCCTCCCCTACCTGCTCCTCAAGTGCTTGATATCTAATGGCCTTCGCTCTCCATAACTCAGCTGTCTTCCCATTCTGTTTTTCATCCTTATTTCCCAAGCAGTGGGACAAATTGCTCATAGACATCAAAGGAATACCATCACTGTTGATCATGAACTACAAACCACCTCTTTGCGGTCAACGATAGCCTGATGACACCCTTTAGCTAACAGTAGCCTGAGCTTTCGCCCTAAGCTGTTATTTATCCGGCCTGTACCTACACTCTGCCGTGACACCATGGGTAATTATATGTCTCCGTTGAGTCGGTGTATTATCTGTTTTCTCACAGTTGTGTTTTTGTACTTGTAGAAATCTGGACACAGTCCCACCATACTTGGCCGTAAGTAATAGGTCAAAGTCTTTCAAATGTTGCACAACAGCTGCTCTAAGGAACGGGGCTGATTAGTCCAGCCACATCAAAGGTTTACAGATCTGGGGCCTCCTCCCTTTGCCATAATATACGGCTGCACATCGGTACGTTAGAAAGCTTGGTGTTAAATTTCATGTTGGAATTTCAATCTTAGTGTTGGCTCGAAGTTAGCTACACTGAAGCAAGGTCCCAGAAAAGCAGGAGCCCATCATGCCTTTGCTATGCGTTTATACCGGTAACTAACATCGGCACTTGCACGTACGTTTTTAGTCTCCTATTGTTCATCTCCTAGCCTCCACTGTCATCGCCCTGCACATAGCGTCAGCCAAACAAACACACACGTGCTATCTGGCTGTGGCCTGAGTCATGACAAAGTTACTCAGAGCTGCAGGTTTATATTCCAGGAGCATGAGTGTCGCTCTTTACCCTCGAGGGATACCTACTATACCAAGTTTCTATAAATAACCAAGCACACGGCTAGATAAAAATACACAAGAGAGGCCGTGCATCTTTTCATAAAAGTCGCTGTTAGGTGAAGATTAGCTGAAGTGATAATGGGTTAAAATGCGAACCACATTTTCACAGAACCCTAAGTGTCCTTCTTGAGAATAGCTACAACAACTCTTGGCTTATCCTAACAAATACTTGAAAAAAACACCGTTCAAGAAACAGGGATCTCTACAGCTGTTCTGGACTTGATTGCATCCTCTGTAATCAGAGCCATCTGGTTGGGAATGTCGTGCAGAATCACGTACTGCTCTAAGTATCTCGCTGAAGCTTGTTTGAAGTGCTCCAACATGGGCTTGACTTGACAAATTACATCCCACCCTTTAGGGAAGGTCTATGTGCACTTTAACACTTCAGCATCCTTTTTTTTCAGATGTTAATCCTGATCATCTTGTGGGATTTTCTGAGCCGTGCCTATACGAAAGCCGTTGATCCCACCGGTTGCTCTGATGAACAGTGGATAAACGTTGCAATTCACATTGGGGTGAGATCAATTCCGTAAAGCCCGCAGGCTGTGGGTAGAGGGCATGCAGGGTATTGTAGCTTTGGCAAACGCTAAGGAAATAAAGTACGTAGCTGCTTAAAGATCATTTGAGCCATGTTCCCATAGTCCTGTCTTTT